GTTAGCGCTTCCCTCTATTAAACATGTTTTTTTTTTGTTTGTTCTTAGATTTATTTGTCTTTCTTTCTCTTTGCTGCATTATTTATTAATTTATTCATTTCTCTCTCTCTTGTTTTATTGCTTCTATTTTTTTAATTTTTACTTTTATAAATCTATTCAATTAATTTGTTCAATGTATTTATGTAATTAATTTATCTAATTAATTAATTCATTTAAGTTTAATTAATTAATTAATTAATTAATTAATTTATTATTTATGTTTTGCAGATAAATTTTTTATTTGAAGACTCCTCTCGGTCTTTTTCTTCGTTTTGTTCGTCTTTGTTTTTTTTTGTTTTTTTCCAGCAAACGAATTCCGTGGTTTTGTGCAACACCCAGAAAATATCAACGATTAGGTAAGTTAAAAAAGAAAATAAATTATATTTAATTATATTTATTTATTTAGGTGTTTATTTATCTTGTTTTATTTATTTATTTATTAGTATATTTTTGTCTGTTTATGTGCTTATCTGTTTATTCTTTTTTGTTTGCTTGTTTATTTATTTATTCTATTTATTCATTACATATATTTATTTATTTATTTATACATATATATATATATATATATATTTATTTATTTGCTTGTCTTGAACTGCAGATACATCTCTCCTTTTCGGGTGTCTGCGATTTTCTTTAGCAATTTTCTACGCACTGCACTTCTAATATCTCGAACGTTTAAACAAACAATTAATTGTAAACAGCAGCAGCAGCAGCAGCAGCAGGAGCAGGAGCAGCAGCAGCAGCAGCTGCAGCAGCAGCAGCAGCAGCTACAGGAACACCAGGACAAAGACAAACAGCTGCAACAGCCACCGCTGCAGCAGCAGGAGGAGGAGCAGAAGCAGCAGCAGCAGCAGGAGCAGCAGGAGGAGCAGCAGCGGCAGCAGGAGCAACAGGAGCAGCAGCAGCAGCAGCAGGAGCAACAGGAGCAGCAGCACTTATTGATTGAGCTGCGCTTTCAAGCAGACGGTACTCTAGAAGAAACAAAAATGTATAATGCCTTTGTTTGTGAAGAACAAACAAATGCAAAAAAAACAAACAACAATACACCTCAGCGTACACCCGAATCAAACCCTTCTGAATCCCCTTCTGCTAGCAGCAGCAGCAGCAGCAGCAGCAACCGCAACAGCAACAGCAGCGGCAATAACAACAACAACAGCAACAACAACAGCAACAGTAGCCGCAGCAGCAACAGCAGCAGCAACAACAACAGTAGCAGCAGCAACAGCAACAGCAGCAGCAGCAGCAGCAACAGCAGCAGCAACACGAAAGCAACTGAGAACAAAATGAATGACAACAGCAACAGCAAAGAATTAATAAAAGGGGTTTGGGTCCAGAGAGATTTATTTGCTTGGATTTGCAGCAGCAAACTTATTCATTTCTTTTGCTGCTGCTCTCGACAAGTGCTGCTGCTGCACATGGCTGCAGCAGGTGGGGCTGCGCTGCTAGGGGAAACTGCATGCAGTATTGCTACACTTCACAGCAGCAGCAGCAGCAGCAGCAGTTGCTGCTGCTCCTGCTACTGTACCACCAACTGCAGCAGCAGCAACTGCAGCAGCAGCTACAACAACTGCAGCAGCAGCAGCAACTGCACCGCATGCTGCAGCTGCGAAGCAGAAAAACTCCTTCTCGTCGGATGCAGCAGCGGACGCATCTTTCAGGTACTAACAGCAGCAGCAGCAGCAGCAGCAACAGTAGGAGTTGGAGTAGCAGCAGCAGTACGGAAAGGACTAGAAGTTGCAGCAGCAGCAGCAGCAGTAGAAACTGCACTAGCAACAGCAGCAACAGAAGGGCTTGCAGCAGCAGTAACAGCAGCAGCAGCAGCACGAAGAAGGCTAAGTTGAGAAACAAGGTTTCAATTAAAGAGTGAAAAGCCGGCAGTATAGAAAGCAACAAACCCTGCTAATAGTATTATTACTATGTATCTGTTTGTTATGGTTTAGTTAGGGTTTAGGGTTTAGGGTTTAGGGTTTAGGGTTTAGGGTTATTTCGTTGTCGCCTTTATTACTATTTGTCTGTTTGTTATGGTGTACTTATTATTACATTTATTACAACAATAAATTAAATCTATTATAATTATTTATTATTAATAATTATTTATTATTAATAATTATTTATTATTTATTGTTATTTATTATTTATTATTTATTATTTTTTTCAGTGGTTCATCGAAAAAGATAAACACAAAATTAATTTCAAGGGGCCGCGTCTCTTTCAGTCTCCAGCGCATGCAGCAACACCCTGCATGCAGCTGCTAGCAATCAAACCCCTAACGCTGCTGCAGCAGCTGCAGCAGCAGCAAATGCAGCAGCAACAGCAGCAACTGCAGCAGCAGCAGCAAATGCAGCAGCAACTAATGCAGAAGCAGCAGCAGCAACTGGTGCAGCAGCAGCGGCAATTGATACAGCAGCATGAGCAGCAGCAACTGCAGCAGCAGCAAAGCTACTTGAGTCTAGTAGGTACGCGCACAATTCTGCTGCACCCTAAACCCTAAACCCTAAACCCTCGTTTGGTGTGTAGGTGGTGTATTCAGGCGAAGCGTTTTGTGTTGCTGCGGTGTATAAAGACAAAACAAATTCTTTTGTTTTGCTGCATAATATAAAACCTGCTGCTGCTGCAGCAGATGCAGAGGCAGTGGCTGTACAGGCAAGGGTTTAGGGTTTAGGGTTTAGGGTTTGGGGTTTAAGGCTTTGTCTGTGCGAACGTAACTCCCAGATAATTAAACCCTAAACCCTCAATTATACCCTCAACGTTCATGAAATCCCTCAACTTAAATCGTTTAACCAAACCTAAACCCTAAACCCTAAACCCTAAACCCTAGACCTTCGATGAAAGCCTAAACCCTAAACCCTCGGTAAAACCCTAAACCCTTTTCAAGAACCCACACTCTCCACTTGTTTGTTATTTTTTTAATTGCCTTAGCATTTGCTGCATAAGCTCTTTTTATTTAATTGTATAGGGTTTAGGGCTGCGGGTTTAGGGTTTAAGGTTTAGGGTTTAGGGTTTAGGGTTTAGGGTTTAGGGTTTGTGCATGGTTGTCTGCAGAAAGGTCTATCATCTGTTGAGGTGTACAGAGCGCCTCAGTGGCAGCAGCCGTCTTTGAATGAAACCTTCGGTGTTTTCTCCGTTGCTGCTGCTGCTGCTGCTGGTGCTGCTGTTGGTGCTGCTGCTGGTGCTGCTGGTGCTGCTGCTGGTGCTGCTTCGCATGCAGCTGCATGCAGCAGCAGCAGCAGCAGCAGCAGCGCGTTTGCTGCTGAGGGAATTTGTTTGTCTTTGCCCTTTGCTGCTTCGTGGGTGGCGAATGAATATAATCTTTTTAAGCTATCTTCCTGCTGCTGCTGCTGCTCTGAAGTGCTGCTGCTTCCGAATATAAGGGCACTAGTACTCGCTGCAATCCAGCAGCAGCAGAAGCAACAGAAGCAGCAACTGCAGCAGCAGCAGCAGCAACAAGAGCAGCAGCAACAGCAGCAGCAGCAACGGGTCTTGCGTATATTGCAGGCAATAGAAAATCATAAAGGGGGTTGGGAGCCTGATGATGTATATACACTCGAGAAAGAAGCAAAAACACTGCTGCAGAATTACACAACTAACGAACAACCTGCTGCTGCTGCTGCTGCTGCTGCTGCTGCTGGCGACGGCTGTCCTCATTCTCCTTCTGCTGCTTGCGCAGCAGCAGCAGCAGCAGCAGCAGAATTATCGTTATACACCTTTTTTGGTTTGTTGAGTTTATCTGCTGCCAGCCTCATGAATTCTTTAGAGGCAGCAGAAGCAGCAGCAGCAGAAGCAGCAGCAGCAGCAGCAGCAGAGCAGCAGCAGCAACACGCGAGAGGGGGAAGCTGGAGCTTAATTAAAAAGGGGTTTATTCGGAGACTGCAGCAAATGCAAATAATAAAAACAAACAAAGGAAATAAGATGAAAGTTTTGCTGCTTGCTGCTACAGACAAGAAACTGCTGCTGCTTACGCTTGAGGTGAACCATCTGCTGCAGCTGCAACAGCAGTAGCAACAACAGCAGTAGCAGCAGCAGCGGAAGTAGTAGGAATAGCAGCAGGAGCAGCAGTAGCAGCAGCAGCAGCAGCAGCAATAGCAACAGTAGCAGCAGCCGAAGTAGCAATAGCAGCACTAGTAGCAGCAGCGGCGGCAATTGCAGCAGCAGCAGCAGCAGTAGCAGCAGCAGTAGCAGCAGCAGCAAACGAAGTGCTGTATACCTACACCAAACAAGTGAATTACCATACAGCACAAGAGCAGAGAAGAGAAAAATAAAATAAAATAAAATATACAGATAAATAAAATCAGAATAGACAGCAAGGAAGAGTTTATTATATATATATATATAATAAACTAACAAAAAAAAGCAAAGCCCAATTAACTTTGCTGCATGCAGGGGATGCTGCTGCAGCAGCTGCTGCCTCTGCAGCAGCAGCACTTCAGTCTTGAAACGCTGTTGCCATCCTTTTCAGCAGCAGCAGCAGCAGCAACAACAACAGCAGCAGCAGCAACAGCAGCAGCTGCGGAGCCAGCAGCAGCAGCAGCAGCAGCAGCAGAAGCCGAAGAGGAGAAGGAGCTTATTCTAATAGTATTTTTAAGAGAAAATAAAATAATTTGTCTAACAAACAAAAAGAAAGTGTTTATCTTTGAGGTCTACACGCGAGCTAAACTGAGGAGGTGGGTTTGTTGTATTTTTGTATATTGCATTTAACGAAAACTAAAAATAATGCAATTAAACAAGACAAGAGATGTATAATATATATTATTATACATGTCTATGCATATATACATGTCTATATATATATATATATATAAACCGGTACAGCCATTGTGTTTGTTTGTGCTTCTGCATTTCTTCTTTGTTTCTTTTCTGTTTATTTATTTGTTTTCTTCTTCTCGTATCTCTTAAGATGCTCGCAAGTCCTCGCATGCATGCATGCATGCATGTATGCATATATAGACTGTAGCATTAGGAAAATGCTAGGAATCGAACCCGCGACCTTCGGGTGATGAATCAGCGACTTAACCACTGGGCTATCGGTGCGAGTTATTTTTGGTGTTGATTTTGTTTGTATATGCAGAACAGGCGAAATTTATTTTGAAGGTTTAAAAGAAGAAAATAAAAAAAATATTCAAGTGAAAACAGCAGATGCAAATAAAGAAGGGATGTTTCTTGCAATTGCTGTTTGTTTTTCGGCTGCTAAAGACTGCATCTTCATCTACAACTGCAACACAAATCAAACAAACAAGTATATTACTATCAACCCCAAACCCTAAACCCTAAACCCTAAACCCTAAACCCTAAAACCTAAGCCCTAGACCCTTAAGCATGCCCCCTAGACCCTAAAGCCTAAACTATAAGCCTAAACCCTGCGCTCAATACCCTAAACCCTAAACCCTAAACCCTAAACCCTAAACCCTAAAACAGGTTGGCAGCGACTGCTACGCCAGTAAACAAAACGAACAAAGATTGAAAGCAAACAACTGAACGACTGCAGCAACAAAAATACACAAAAACAAAAATAGAGAAAAAGAAATTAAAAAAGAGAAAACAAATAAACGAAGCCGCGCTGTTTAGGAGCAAACCCCTCAAAAGAAAGGGTTTTATTGTGCTGCAGCTGTAAATAAATATCTCTCAATGTATTGTACATATATATATATATATATTTGTATTTGTATTTGTAAATATAAATATATATATATATATATATATATGAATGTATGTATACATTCATATATTTGCATTTATCCTTATTAATATTTATGTTTATATTTGTGTTTATGAATATTTATATTTATATTCATTTATAATTATATTTATATTTGCACTTATTTATACTCAGGCTTTCTATTGAAGACAACAAAGAAAACTGCTTCTCCCTCCATCGTATTTTCTTTGACTTACGCAGCAGCAATTTGCTGCTTATACACCTCAATAGAGACCCCAACAATGCATTTGATAGCAGCAGCAGCAGCAGCAGCAGCAGCAGCAGCAACGAGCAGCAGCAATGGGCGGAGCAGCAGCAGCAGCAGCTGCAGCAGCAGCAGCAGAACCACGTGCTGCAACAGTACCAACAACGCACAGAGCATGTGATCTAAAACCTAAACCCTAAACCCTAAACCCTCAAACCTAAACCCTATGCCCTACTTAAACTCACGTCTAACGAAAAAATCAGAACTGGGGTGTAATAGGGGGCATAGGGTTTAGGGTTTAGGGTTTAGGGTTTAGAGTTTAGGGTTTAATGGTCGGGGCTTCGGGCTTCGGCAAAGGGTTTAGGGTTTAGGGTTTGAGGTTTAGGGTTTAGGGTTTGAATTGTTCAGGAAGACCAAACAGTTGTTGCCGCTGTCTTCATCAACGAGGAGGGGAAGGGGGCTTTACTAGTAAGCCCGCCTAGGGTTTAGGGTTTAGGGTTTAGGGTTTAGGGTTTAGGGTTTAGGGGTATCGCTGGATTTTGCATGATTAGTTTTTGTTTGTATTTATCTACCAAAGGTATTTGTTTTGAGTTATTTTGAAGAAAGAAATAAAATTTATTGATTTGTCTAAATGCAGTTTTACACACAGTTATACATATAAATATACATCTATTTAGAAGTATATATAAAATATATAATATATAATATATATAATATATATATATATATATATCTGTCCTTAATGAGACAAACAATGAAGAAAAACATCAAAAAAAGAATAATCGACAAAAAAGAGTAAAAAAGAAAGAGATAATATGAAGGGCATTAAGAGAGATAAAAAAGATAAGCGATTAAAACAAAGAAAATAAATAAAACAAACAAACAAACAAATAAATAAATAAATATTATGTTTGAGATTTGCTGCAGGATTGCATGCAAATTTCTTCTTCTCTCTCTCCTATTTGTTTGTCTTCGCCTTTTGTTTGTTTTATTAATAAAAAGCAAACAAAAACAAACAGCAAAAACAATAAACAGCAAATGAAAACAGAGATAGCAGCAGAGAAAACCTACAAACAGCAGCAACAGCAGCAGCAGAAGCAGCAGAAGCAGCAGAAGCAGCAGCAGCAGCAAGAGGTGCAGCAACAGCAGCAAAAAGAAAATAAAGAACGAAAAAATAAACAAAACAAAAAAGAAGAAAATAAAAAAATTGTGTGGCTGCCCTTTGCTGTATTTCATTGCTTTTCTTCATTTAAACAAAATACAATAACAGGTTAGATATTTAATATTATTAAAATAAAATACAATACAATAAATAAAATAAATAAATAAATACATGAATAAATAGAATAAGACGAAAGAAAAAGATAAAACAACTCGTTTAAACAAAATATAGTAACGAGTGCATTAATTAAAAAAAACGTTTATTAAAATAAAATAAATAAAATAAAATAAATAAAATAAATAAATAAATAAAATAAAATAAATAAAATAAACAAATAAAATAAAATAAATAAATGAATAGATAAACGAAACCAAGGAGACAGCAACAGAAACAAAGAGAGACAGAAAAAGATAGCGATAGAAATATAAGCGAAATGAAAATATATTTATATTTAATTATTTGTTTATTTGTTTTTATTTTTTAATAATATATTTATTTATTTATTTTTAATTATGCATTTGTTTATTTTTTTTGTAGACTCACCGATTTGTATATTATATTTATTTATTTATTTGTTTGTTTGTTTATTTTGATATTCATTCATTAGAATTATTTATTTATTTTTTATTTATATTTATTTATTTATTTACTTTTTATATTTTTGTTTATTTATTTACTTCAATTATATTTATTTACTTATATACTCATTTGTATTTATTTATTTATGTTTATATTTATGTTTATATTTATATTTATACTTAGTTATTTTTTTTTATATTTATTTACTTAGTTATTTATTTTTTATTTATACTTCTTTATTTATATTTTTTTACTCGTTTTTGTTCATTTCTTTATATTTATTCTTTTATATTCGTTTGCTTGTTCGTTGCTTATTTATTTGCATTTATTAATTTATATTAATTTATTTATTTTCATTTCTTTATATTAATTTATTTATATTAATTTATTTATATTTATTAATTTATTTATATTTGTTTATTTGTTTATTTTCTTAGATTTGGTGCTACCCTTTTTATCTGCTGCTGCATTTGAAGACGCCGCAAAAATTTCGTCTCTTCTTCAATTGCTGCAGCAGCAGCAGCAGCAACAGCAGCAACAGCAGCAACAGCAGCAGCAGCAGCAGCAGCAGCAG